TGCAGAGGCTCACGTGTGACTGTTAAGTACACTTGTGTAAAGACCAGATTGATGGTTTGAAGTGGCTCTTAGTTGGCCGCAAGGTAAGGAAAAGAAGAAGAGTGATCGAGAGGGGGCGAGCACCACAGGGGGCGAGCCTCCAAGCTATCACAGAAAGATGCACACACACGGGTCATTTCAACATCCCGCTTTCTAGAAATAGGCGGCTAGTCCGACCTCTAGAACGGATCTAGAAATGATATGCGTAAGTGCATAATCTACAGAATTCTCCATAGCTGTGTATAATCTACCGAATTCTCTTACGGTGATTACCTACGTGCTGTGCTTACAGCAGTACAAAAATCAATGACTGACATTGAATATACNGCTGAACCTGATCATGTTCTTCAAACGACTGCGACAGTACAACCTCAAACTGTCTCCAGGGAGAGTCGCGTCGGCACCACGAACGCCAACTTTCTCGGCCACACCATCTCTCCGGCAGGTGTTAGCCCTGATGGCGTCAAGGTTAGGGCGCTCACGCACATGCCGCCGCCGACGAATGTTAAGCAGCTTCGGAGCCTTCTCGGTGGACTCCGTTACTACCGGGAATTCCTCAAGAATCTCGCCACCAAGGTGCGGCCTCTCAACTCTCTTCTCAAACAAGGCGTCCCGTTCAAGTACACCCCGGGCATGGTCAAGGTTGTCAAAACGTTGTTAAGCGAACTCGCTCGCCCCCCGATTTTGGTCTTCCCGGATTGGGCAGCAATCGAGGACAACAGCCGTCCTCTTCGTTTGTGTTCCGACGCGTGTATCGACGGTTTTGGCGCCTCCTTGGAACAAGGACAGCCCGATGGCTCGGTGAGACCCATCGTGTACATCAGCCGCGCTACTCTTCTTGCGGAGTGTAACTGGACCGTTTTGGATCTGGAGGCTGGTGGCATTGTTTGGGCCATCAAACGCCTTCGCGGTTATCGGTGGTCGACCAAGTTCATCATCCATTCGGACCACAAAGCATTGGAGAGCATTGGCAAGGTTGGGAAACACAACGCTAGAGTGCAACGACGGCTCGAATTCCTGTCCAACTTCACCTACACCCTGAAATATCGGAAAGGCTCGGCAAACNGGTGGTCGACCAAGTTCATCATCCATTCGGACCACAAAGCATTGGAGAGCATTGGCAAGGTTGGGAAACACAACGCTAGAGTGCAACGACGGCTCGAATTCCTGTCCAACTTCACCTACACCCTGAAATATCGGAAAGGCTCGGCAAACGGCAACGTGGATTTTCTTTCGTGGTTGCCTTTTCCAGCACAAGACACTGACAAAACCGGCCCCGACTGCATGATGGTGTGGATCAAGCGGGTGTTTTCCTCATTTGGGCTTGCGGGCGCAACTGTCACTCGTCGTCTACACGAGAGGTCGGTTTGGGTGGGCTCCACCCTTCTTGCAGGGCGCCAGTCTTTTCGCCCCCAGCGTTGCAGCCCTCCGATTTTGGGGATTTCGCCGACATCACCCGCGTCGGGTGGATGCTCTGACGGACTCAAAGATTGTCTGCGAGAATTCTCAGCAGTCCCCGGGGGTCTTCATCGTCTCGCCTATTCTCGCATCTTCAGGGCCTGCTTCCTCATTGACTTCTGATGCGTCCCGCGTGAAGTCTCCTGCCGTTTTGTCTTCGCTTCCGGAGCAGGGACCGCTCATTTCTTCACGGACTCGGGCCAAAACTACCGCTGTTTCCGGAGACACCGTCACCGGTCCCGCTTATTTCGGACGCCAGCCGCGGGCTACCATCGTCCCTCGGACATCGTCGCCTGCCCGTCGCTCTAGCAAGTCCCGCTCGACACACAAGACCACCCAGACCGCCGCGCGTCTGCTGCCGCCATCCGCAACGCCGGCACCAGCGTTTTCGTCGACTGCTCTTGCGCCACCGGTGTCTTCGCCGTCAGCGGCGCGCCCTGCATCCCCGACTTCACCTTCTCTACAGGTTTCGCCCGGGACTTCGCCACTCACGATGTCCCCTTCGCGGACATCACCCCGGACTGCGGCTGCCCCAGTCGCTGAGGCTTCGCCTTCTTCCGCCTCTTCCGCTGGATCGCCTGATTTATTCGGAATCTTCTGATTTGGACACCTCCCACTTGCGGGCTTGTGTTCAGAGTTTCAGCACCGTGGATTGGGCTAGGGAACAACAGCGGGAGAGCGAGTGTGTGGCGGCTATGCGTTTTTTGTCTCGCGGTTCTCCCTCCCCACCCCCTCCGGACTTGCTCACTCTCTGTGCTCATCTTCGCTCCCCTCGGTTGGATGATGTGCTTGTGTTGGCGGCGAAAACCAGACTGCACACGACCGATGACAACATCACCCTCCTCGTACATAAATCGGCGACGTCGCCGGTTGGGCGCTCTGGCGGCAGGACCACTCGTCTGCCGGATACTGGCGTGCCCCGTGTCTACGTGCCAATGCTGATGCGTCCGTGGGTCCTTCATGCATGCCATACCGCCGCGTCATTCCATCTCGGCGTCCATCGTACACAGCGTCTGCTCGAGCGCTTCTACTGGTGGATTGATTTGGATCGTTCCGTGCGCTGGTGGCTTTGGGCGTGTTTGGTGTGTCAAGCTCGCAAGACTTCACGTCAGACTGCTCGGTGGCCCATCATCGCTATGCCATTGCCGCAGGGGCCTGATACGGTCGTTGGCGTCGACTTCTTCGGACCTCTGCCAGTGACTGCCAAGGGCAACTCCTNTGAGCGCTTCTCCTGGTGGATTGATTTGGATCGTTCCGTGCGCTGGTGGCTTTGGGCGTGTTTGGTGTGTCAAGCTCGCAAGACTTCACGTCAGACTGCTCGGTGGCCCATCATCGCTATGCCATTGCCGCAGGGGCCTGATACGGTCGTTGGCGTCGACTTCTTCGGACCTCTGCCAGTGACTGCCAAGGGCAACTCCTACGTTTTGTTGTTCACAGACCGTTTCAGCCGGAGAGCCGACATGCTCGCAGTTACAGCGGCGGAATTTACGGCGAGAGGGACGGCTCACACCTGCGCAGACACTACCGGAAACTGTTTCAACATGGAGTCTCGAACAGCTATCTGCACTTGCGCATCCGAAGGCTTGAACGCGTGATGGGAAACCATGACGGCCATGGCCAGAGCCATATAGCGACGAATGTATTCTCCGTAAGTCTCGCCGTTGAATACGCCAAAACTGCGAAGACGATCAATCCCCGAGCTCTTATCTTGAGTGTCCCAGGCAGCCGCCAATTTCTGGATGAAGAAGGCGTACGTCGAGGGCCCTGCCGGTTCCTTGCGCAGGTGGTTTCCTACCTGTAGGAAGGTGGCATCAAGAAATTCCAGAGTGGCACGGTTGGTGGTTTGGCCTTCAACGACAGCAGCACGGACACGTTTGCGCAACAACGGAAGCCATCCGGTGACCCAGGTGGAGGAAGTGAAAGTCTGTTTGCGCTTGACGTCGCTTTTGTTGAGGATCTCTGTGACCACACCCTTGCAGCTAGACGCGAAGCGAGCAAATTCATCAGGATCAGGACCGAGGGGGAAGCGTGTGACACTATCAAGTTCTTCCGGCTTCAGCTTTCCATCTTGTCTTGAATGCGGATGGTGTCGGCCTCCGCTGCAGCGGCGTCCGCAGCGTGCAGAGCCTCCTGCCTCGCTCTCGCTCCCGTGGAAGACAAAGGCAACCCAGCATCGTCTTGTGGCACCGGTGATGCCGCTTGACTCGGTGGCTCGACGCTGTGGCCGGTTGCAGAGTCAGGATCAATCAGAACAGATGCACGCTGGAGGGGGGGGGGCGATACCACCAAAGGCTGTTGCAACAGGGCTGGGGCTGTCGACGCTGACGGTGCCACCGCAGGCTCGACCGGTACTGTCACCGACCTCGTGGCTGATGACGATGATGCTGGCGTGGTCCTGGCAGCGGTTTCGGCACGAACATCGCGCCACACAGGAGCTCCCGAAAAGCTCGAAGCGTGGTCTTGCATCGGTGTCTGACGCGTTGGTGGGGAAGAAGATGGGGCAGGTGGTGGCACGCTCGGAGCGTGGGAGGGCACAGGAGGTTGTACATTCGCGTCGGCAGCAGCATCCACTACTTGATTTGCTCGCAGGAGAGTGAGTACTTGTTCCAACAGCATTTCAGTACGGGAAGCCGAAGACGAGGCGTGTGATGCAGCATGGCGTGGTGACTCAACAGGTTCGTCCAAAGACAAGGAAGATGTGGGATGATCCATAACGGCATGGGCAGGGGCATGGCTTTTCACAGCGGCTGAACGTTCACGAAGTTGCATGTTGGCAAGTTTGAAAGCCAAGGAAGACCTGGTCGGTTGGCCTACATCAGCGGGAGGGCGTAGCACAAGCGGTGAAGAACAGAGAGAACCGTCTTCTGAAGCATCCTTGTTTTCCCCCAACAACCCAGAGCTACGAAAATCACCCCGATCATACATCACTTGCCTGTTACCGTGGCCTGACCTCCGTCCCCCTTTTCCGCCGCGACTGCTGTCAGTGCTGGTCGCCCTGCTATTGCCCTCGCTCTGGTTCTGGCTCCGGCTACGCCTAGACGGAGGCGTGTTTCTCCCACGACGGTCTCCGCTCCAGCTGCGCCCATGCCTAGACTAAGGATTGGTGCGCTGTTGACGTTCTGCGCTCCGACTCCTGCTCAGGCGATGGCAACTCGCCGGCGAAGACCTGGTAGGCTGGTTCCCCACGGCTCGCCCTCGCCTGTTATCGCCGACGCCGCGCCCTCGCGAAGACTGGGTGGAGCGGCGGTGGTCGTCCGTCCCGCTCTTGGCCGTCGAATCCCGGTCGCCCCAACGGTTCTTCCAGCTCTTGGGCACAGGAACCGCCGACCCACTGAAGTCCTTGTCCTCTCCAGAACCATGCGCAGGGCGTGAAGAGGCTTGCCGGGGGGCTTGTAGATCGTGCTCGAAGTCGTTGGTCGAGGCAGCACGAGCAAGAGGCAGCTGGAGTCCTCCATCTTGGGTCACCACCGACGTTCCTTGAGGACCTTCATGACAGGTGGCACGACGGAGAGTCAACAACAGCTGGAACACGGACTGTTGCGAAGAAGGCGGAAGTTTCGCGAGGTACGGGGTGTGATAGATATGCCCGAGAGCAACGGTGTGCGGTGGGGGGAATTGTGCACGGACAAGTTGTTTGATGCCAGCCCATGCAAAAAGAGCTGCCAATTTGTCCTCATCGTGGAACGTGATATCTTCTGCAGGCATATCCAGCGGGCGGGACAGGAACGCTGTATCTCCAACGTGGAACTCGTACACCGTGGTTGCCGCCGCAAACGATGCTCCGTCTTCAGCACCGGCCAAAGACCCAAAGCCACCGAAAACTCCGGAGTCGCTGTCCTCTTCCGCTCCTTCTCGTTCGTCGGAGAAGCCACCACCTCCCGCTCCTTCTCGTGCGGCGAGGCGGTACGATGGGGACCAAGGTGCACCTGGGATTGCGTTGGGGGGGGGGCGATAACACGGCGACAGGAGTGGGGGACTGCTCGCGGGTCCTGGTGGCGGGGCTGCAGCTCCTTCAGCCGCGATCGGAGCGCCCCCTGCTTCGCCCTCGCCGCTTGGAGGTACCCCTCACGCTCCGCCAGAACAGCCGCACGCTCCTTCTCCTGCTTCCTCGCCGCAGCAGCCAGAGCAGCCTCACGTTCCTCCTCCTGCTTCCTCGCCGCAGCAGCCCGAACAGCCTCACGCTCTCCTCCTGCTTCCTCGCCGCAGCAGCCAGAGCAGCCTCCCGTTCCGCCAAGCGCTCCGCGTCCTCGCGCTTCGCCTGCTCTCGCGCCTCCGCCTCTGCTATCTTCCCGGCAAGACCGTCGCACCACATCTCGTCCTACCTTTGGTACGCCATAAACTCGTCGTGGGGCAAGAGGATTAATCTGTCTTCCGGCGGGAGCTAGTAAGGAGGGAATCGGACGACAGATGGGCGGCTTCTACAATATCCTCCAGAAAGGCACGTCCGGTGTTGTAGGCCCGCTCTAGTTCCGCCGGATCTGCTGTGGCGATGTTGTCCAGAAAATTATCGACGGTGAACACAATGGGCATGGGGGGGCTCTCGTCTCCTGCACCGGCCGCTGGAGACTGCTCTGCGGTGGGAGCCTCGCCCTCGGGTTCGTAATCCAGGATTTCCACATTGTCGCCCAGGAGTTCCACATTGCCGCTGGACATGGTATCCTCTTTGTTAACAAGAACAGGGCCAGAGAGAGGGTAGCTACGATCAATTGTGGAAAGGGCAGCAGGGCCAGAAACAACAGCAGATGTAGGATAACCAACCGCAGAGGCAGCAGCACCAAGAGCAGCAGAAGCAGTAAAGTCGGGTGCAACTTCGGGAAAAGCAAGCCGAGGTCCATGCGAAAGGCGGAGATATCCACAGGATAGCATACGGCCAGTGATATAAGCTTGGTGCACACAAGGTTGACTTGGATCCAACCAAGCAGAAAAAGCGTCCAAAAGCACANATACCTCAGGCAGGAACCGCAGGAGGGGGTCCAGCCCCCCCCTCCTATGTGACCCCAGTTGGGTCGTCTAGCTAGTAGAAGTGGAGGATAGGGACCAGAGGGGCAGACAACAGAATCCGATGATGGGAGAAAAACAAATACCCACAGGGATAAAAGCTTGGTGCACACGAGGTTGAAGCGGATCCAACCGAGCAGAAAAAGCGTCCAAAAGCACACCATGCCACGCACAAACAGCAGTAGAAGCTAGCACAAAAGGGCCCGTGTT